CCATATCTCCCCTTCTACCCGGTTCCCACCCCACCCTCTGCCCATGATCCAGAGTCATTGAAAGACAGGATGCTTTTAACAAAAAGGCTTTCTAGAAGAGTTAAGTAGGAGTGATCTCAATACCAGATTTCAAGCTGTATTACAAAACCACTGTTCTCAAAACAGCCTGGTACTGGCACAAGAACAGACATATAGACCAATGGAATAGAATCGAGAACCCAGATATCAACCCAAATCACTATGCTCAATTAATATTTGACAAAGGAGGCACGAATATACAATGGAGTCAAGATAGTCTCTTCAATAAATGGTGTTGGGAGAAACCAAGATGGTGGCATAGGGTAGACACCCGAATGCAGCCTACCACAACAAATTTGAATTTAGAACTGGAAAACAGAGAGGCATTGCCTTGAAGCACCGGATGGCTAGCTGAGAGGAGGCTCTGCCATCTGGGAAGGAGAGAGAAGGCATGCTGAACTTCAAAAACTGTGAAGGTACAGAGAACTGTGCGCACAAAAAGGGCGCTGGCTTAATCCCGGCACTCGGAGAGGAAGGGCCGAGAGTGCTGCTGGCTTTCTCCCCGGTGAGCAGAGAGGGTGGATAGCTAACACGCGGCTGGCTTTCTTCTTCGAGAGGAAAACAGAATCACCCTATTGCTCTGATAGACTGTCAGGCAGCGGACAGAGATCTCTTGGAGGTGTGTGAAGCCAGAGGCCATTACTGTGGGACTTGGGGAGGAGCTAACGGAAAAACAAAGCTTGTCTGCACCACCCCGAGACTCTGTCCCATCCAAGCTGAGCACAGAAGCTCTCCCAGAAGCTGATTTTCTCTAAGTAGGTACTGGCCGGAATCCAAAGCTTGTCTGCGCCTTCACCAAAGAGGTGCGGGAGCCTACAACCAATCTTCCGAAACTCACCACAAACAGGACTTCTAAGGTGAGACTGACAGGGAACCAAAGATTGCCTGCGCCACCCCGAGACCCCACCCCATCCAAGTGGAGTACAGAAGCCTTCCTAGCTGAGACACTGTTGAGCCTCACAGCCAATTGGCTTGGTGATCAACGCTTCCCAGTGATAAGCAAGACTTAACAACAAGACTGCACACATAGCCCACAAAGGACTATACCAAGACTGTCCCAGGTAACTGGGAAGGCTGTGCTACTGGGCTCTATCAGAACACCTAATACACAAAACTATTCCTTTAAATCAGGAAAACAACTAAAATGCAGACAAGGCACAGGACACAAAGGAAGGAGATGGAGAAAAAAAAAAGAATGGACATTGAGTTCAAAACCACTGTTATAAGGCTTTTCAATAATATCCTTAAAAAAGGCCGATAAAATAAATGAGACCTATGAGGATATGAAAAGGGATCAACTAGAAATAATAAGGGATCAACTAGAAATGAAGAAAACATTGTCTGAAATAGAAAATATTACACAGAGTCCTAAAAACAGACTGGAAGATTGCAAGAATCAAGACAAAGATTTAGAACACAAAGAGCCAGAGGACATTCCTCTGCAGAAGCAAGAAGGCAAGAGAATCCAGAAAGTTGAAGATAGTGTAAGAAACCTCTGGGACAATTTCAAGTGAACCAACATCAGAATTATGGGGGTCCCAGAAGAAGAGAGAGAGCAAAATACCAAAAGAATACTGGAAGAAATAGTGAAAGAAAACTTCCCCCACCTGGTGAAAGAATTAGACCTATAAGTCCAGGAAGCGCACAGAACCCCAAACAAAAGGAATCCAAAGAGGACCACACCAAGACACATTATAATTAAAATTCCACGAGCAAAAGACAAAAAGAGAATATTAAAAGCAGCCAGAGAAAAGCAGGTAGTTACCTATAAAGGAGCACCTATACGATTGTCAGCTGATTTCTCAACAGAAACCATGCAGGCCAGACGGGAATGGCAAGAAATATTCAAGATAATGAATAGCAAGAACCTACAATCAAAAATAGTCTACCCAGCAAAGCTATCACTCAGAATCGAAGGCCAGATAAAGAGCTTCACAAATAAAAAAATTAAAAAAAAGGAGTTCATCACCGCCAAACCAGAATTATATGAATTGCTGAAGGGGGTTATTTAGGAAGAGGAAGAAGATAAAGATAAAAATTATGAACAGCAAATACGTAACTATCAACAAGTGAAACTAAAAACCAAAGGAATTAAAAAAATCTGATGAACAATATTTACTTGTGAATATAATAGAATCAGAGGTATGGAAGGGGAGTGGACTGATGATTCTTGGGGAAAAGGGGAGTGGGAATGGGGGAAGAGACTGAACAAAAACTGTACACCTATGGATGAGGACAATGGGCGATGGGGAAAGGACAGAGGGTGGGGTGGGAACCTGGTGGAGGGGCGCAATTTGTAATAATCTGAACAATAAAAATTTATTAAATTTGAAGAAAAAAAAAAAAAGAGAGAGAGAGTTAGGAACTGAATACACCAAACTATATGAACCAACAAGAAAGGAAAAATGGGTAAATGGTACATTTTCTGAAAAAATAAATAAATAAATAATAAATAAGTAAATAAATGGTGTTGGGAATATTGGACAGATACATGTAAAAGAATGAAACTAGATCACAAACTTACACCATACACAAAAATAAACTCAAAATGGATTAAACATAAGACGGGAAACCATAAAAATACTAGAGGCATCCCCAGGAAGCAAAATCTCAGACATATGACAAAAGAACTTCTCACCGATATTGCCCCTAGGGCAATGGAAGCTAAAGAGAAAATAAACAAATGGGACTACATCAAAATAAAAAGCTTTTTTATAGCAAAAGAAACCATCAATAAAACAACAAGAAAGCCCACTGTATGGGAGAACATATTTGCAAATGTTATCACTGATAAAGGTTTAATCTCCAACATCTACAGACAGCTTATACAACTAATTAAAAGGAAAATGAATGATCCAATTAAAAAATGGGCAATGGACCTAAATAGAATATTTTCAAAAGACAGAAGGAAGGCCAAGAGGCACAATAAAACATGCTCACAGTCACTAATTATCTGAGAGATGCAAATCAAAACAACAATGCAGTATCATCTCACACCTGTCAGAATGACCAACATCAACAAATCAACAAAGGACAAGTGTTGGCGAGGTTGCAGAGAAAAAGGAACCCCCCATGCATTGCTGGTGGGAATGTAGACTGGTGCAACCACTGTGGAGAACAGTATGGAGTTTCTTCAAAAACTGAAAATGGAACTCCCATTTGACCCAGTAATCCCACCCCTAGGAATATATCCCAAGAAACTAGAAACACCAATCAGAAAGTATATATGCACCCCCATGTTCATAGCAGCACAATCTACAATAGCTAGGATTTGGAAACAGCTTAGGTGCCCGTCAATAGATAATTGGATCCAAAAACCATGGTATATCTACACAATGGAATACTATGCTGCCATAAAAAAAGAAGGAATTCTCATCATTTGCAGCAACCTGGGTGGAATTGGAGAACATCATACTGAGTGAAATAAGCCAGTTAATGAAAGAGAAACACCACATGACCTCACTCATTTATGGATAATAAAGAACATTATAAACTGATGAACCAAAAGATAGATATAGACAGTAAAGCAACAAGCAGACTGTCAAATTACAGCGGGGAGTGTAGGGAGATCTGGGGGAGATAAGAGATCAACCGAAGGACTTGTATACATGCATATAAGTACAACCAATGGACACAAAACTCTGGGGAGGGTGGGTATGTCCGGGGGTGGGGGAGGGCAATGGTAAAATATGTACACAGATAATTTAATAAAAAAAATAAAATAAAAACAAAAATAAAAATGCTTTCTAAAACACCACCCCATTGATGAAAACATTTATTGAAGAATACCTTTCCAGATTCAGAGCCCATGCAGGGCACACTGCCTCTCATCTCACGTGCATAAAATTGTTCTCCACTCAGGATGAGATGTCCACTTGGGGCCATACATACATAGTGTCATTTCTAAAAGTGGAAGATAAAGGTAGGGCCACCAGAAGCTACACACATACACACACACACAAATGCAAAAACATGCTTGGGCATACTCGTTACAAATGCATTCTTTGGCTTCTCAGAGAAGCCACTTGAAGGTCACCGCCACTTAAAATCCTTGCTGGAGAGCTCCTTGTTGTTTTATCACCTCAATCTATTAAAATTCTAAGACTAGCTGATGACGAAAATTCCAGCTATATTTTTAAATCTCTGAGGAGTCAGGGGAGAAAAACCAACACATGAGTCTATTTGAAATCATTTTATGAATTTTAATCATAGCAAATGTGTTTTAACAGTAGTCATAAAATCAACATTACCACATATACAAAGGACAAGACACCAGTTTGGCATACAAAAATACCATATATTAAAATTGGGTTCGTTGGAAAAACGCAGGACTTGCTAAGACACCATCTACAACAGAGAGAGCAAGCAAGAATGCTTTCAAGACATTCAGATTTATAAACAGCAGCTTGATATCCCCCTTATGAAGTCAATATTTGGCAACATTTGGACAATATTTCCTACACAGCCCAGCAGCTCATTTATCTGTAGGGCGATTCAGCCCTTTAAAAGAAAAGCTCCTAAAATAAATAATACACATAATTTTAAATGAAACATGTCAAGGACTTGAGTGAACAGCCTCTACTCAGCATTAATCTAGCCATTTGTCTGGAGTATTAGTTATCCAGAAGCCCGAGAACCCACCAGTGAAACCATAATGGCAGGAACCCCGTGGAGCAGCTGCATGGCTTATGTAGGGAGTTCATAACCACCCCATGCTGAAACCAGTCTCCCACCTGCAACTGTCAAAGTGGGGCAAACAGGAAAAAGTGATGGAAGAAAAAATATAATAAATGACAACAACCAGATAGAAACCGAATATTCTCAAAAGAGTCTTTCCAATAGTATCAACCTGTTCAAGTCAGGATAGCATCCATAGGTACAGGCATTGCATTCCATGGCTAAGATGTGATTAGTGTTTGTCTATGACTCAGCAACCAACTCTAGAGCAGGTTCTGAAGTTGTTCAGGATGCTCAAAATCTGTGTTCAATTTAAACACCCTGAATTGAATTTGGGAGATCACACTGGAATGGCCAATTGTGCTTGGCAATTATTTCCCAATTTCTTTCAGCTGAAACCTGCCATGACTGACCGCCAGCTCCTACACAATTTGTTTTGGAGCTATAATCCCATTACAGATTTCCTTCTCTTTTATGCTAGTCATATCTGTCCACCTTTTGCTCTAGACCCAAGGCCACATCTCCATCTCTCCCACACAGGATCTACTTCAGCGTTACCCCTCAGGTAGGAAAACCTGAATAGGAATTATCTGAAGCAAGTGTAAAATACCAGCTAATATACCCTCCCACTATTTAAACAGAGATGACATGTTAACTCCGTCCCCTTGAAGGGGCATTTGCCTCATCTATTTCCTTCCTCTTACAGTCGAGGCTCCTTCACCACCATCATATCAAACCTTCTACTTCTGGATTCTCAAAAAGCAAATGTCAAATTAAAAACTGAGCATACCTTTGGAAAACTCTTGGTAGATCAGCTCAATAACTCACACCCCAAGGAGGTCACAGAAGACTTTCACGTGGGCTGCTAGCCCTACATCCCACAGTGATGAGTTCAGAGTGGTGCTCTAGAACAGGAATGGCTATAAAAAAACACTCCCAGGAAAAAAAAAAAAAAAAAAAAGAGTACATGCTGTTGCAAACTTCAAGAGACCCCTCAGTACTTTACCACAAATATTACTGATTGTCCCTAAAAAAGATCATAGTATGAATAGTATCAAAAACCTTAGGCTAGAATAATAAAGTCTAGTTAATGAGATGAGTGTTTTCAAGCACCACTACACCATAAGTGAGATATACATAGTGGGATATCCCAGGCAGTGAATCCTGAAAAAATAAAAAAATAAATGTCATTGGCTCAACTGAGCAAGGAAACCTGTGCAGAAAAATCAGAGCCACATTCTAAGAGTTCAGGAAAAATAGTGCTCTATCCAAGACCATTTGAGCAAAACCAAATAAGAAGTATTTTTGGAAGACAGAAATTAAATTCCCCATCTGCTTATGGTCTTCAATCATCAATAGATTTCCAAAAAAAAAAAAAAAAATGTATGCAGAATCCACCCCTTCCTAGATTTGAAAAGTCTCAAGATTTTGGTTATATAGACATTCACAAAAGTGGATAGTTTGACGTAACGTATGTTGTCAATACGATTTACTAAGATATTGACATCTAAATTCAACATTGTATAACCCACAAATTGGAAACATACAAACAACATTTTTACTCTTATTACCATTAAATTGTATATCTACATATATACCTATTACTTATATCTGAATCAATTGTCAGAAAAATCAATGGCTTAAATATCCACTTTTAAGAAGTGTTTCATGTTGAACAAAATTCAGCAACTAATCATCATCACTTTTGAAGTAGACTACTATTTTTAAAAGTTATCGAATTACCTTGACTATCTCACTCTTCGTTGGAGTTTGTTTTGGTAAGGAGTATTCTGTGGGAGATATTTTACTGAGAATGATGGAAATGGTAAGGAACAGCTCCTTTCTTCTAGGTCAAGGATGACAGAGCAACTGACTGATGACTCTTGTGTGGAAACAAAATGCTGACGGATTAGCAGCAGCATTTTTCTCAGAGAAGAAATTCAAATCTTTTGCATATCACTCCTCCAACAACTTTTGCACCTCTAACTTCCTTGTAAGTCTAAAGAAAAGCTATCATTTTGGCAAAAATAATTTTTAGTAACTTTCAAAAACAAGCTAAAAAGAGAATGGTCAATGCCCATTGATGAGTTATTTTGGGTGGGGCGGGACAGTCAAGGGGGCCCTGCTTCAAGTCTGCTAATTAGAAGCAAATGTATTTGGTTTACATTATATTCTAAAAATAATTAAAAACAGACTAAGCAATTTTTTTTGACACAGCATAGGTTTTCAAATAAAGTTATGAGAACTTTTTAAATCAAAATCTAGAGTGGAATAATATACTAGGCAGGAAGAGTCTAATATATATATATATATATATATATATATATATATATATATAATCTCAAACTGAGTTTTCTGCTTCCACTTACTCACTTAAAAAGCAATATTAGTCACTTCCATGGCTAATATTTTTAACGTTCAAAAAAAAAAAAGTGTCTTTGTGCCAGGCTGTAAATCTTCTATTCTTTTCATGATAACAAAAATAAAACGCAAGATCAAACAACATCAAATCTGACCCTAAAAATAGTACCTATGTTTTAGTCTGGCAAATGAAAATTGATGCCCACAAATGCCCACACCACATACAATAATAAGCTGGAAGACTTCAAGGGCAAACAAAAACACTCTTATAAGCACGGTGATACATGCTTGCTCTTACACCTCACACCTTACTAATGCAGCAGTGAAGTCTGGGTAAGATGCTGGAAGTGAAGAGAGATTTCATGAGGCTTTTTTTCCCCCCCCAGTTAACATTTACTTTTTGGCCATAAGACCCTAAACACATTTTCACAGTCACAGGTCATGCATAACTTGCAAGTCAAATGTTTTACAGCTATGGTGCAACTACTATTTTTGGACAATAAATTCACATGCAGCAAATGATCCCAGAAAAGGGACTTCATAAAGCACTCTTTAAGCTTCACTGGTCGTGCCTTGATTCAAAGTATCCAAGTAATAACCCCAAAGGGCAATCAATGAATTTTTACTATCATACTTGAGATCATACACTTTTAAATCCAGAAAGGTTTGTTTTTTAGCCAACTGCATGTCACTACTAAACCACAAACTGTCTTAACCTTACTCTGTTACTTTTAACACTGATGCTAGATACCACTGCACAACCATCCAGAATTGTGCTATCCAATGATTCAGCCACTAACCAAATGAGTTACTAAATTTAAATAACTTAAACTTAAATACTAAAACACAAAATCCAGTAATTCAGGAAACTAACCCCATTTCAACTGCCTACAGCCAATGTGGCTAGTGGCTACTGCATTGGACTGCATGGGCTACATAACATTTCCATCATCACAGAAAGTTCTACTGAGCAGTGCTAACCTAGAAGATCCCAAGGGCTGCATCCCCATTGGTTTAACCTTCGAGGGATCCACTACTCAGTTATGAGCAAGATTAAATTTAATTATACATTTAAAGAAAATACCTTAAAGCTTTCTGATCATAAAGTGTGACTGGAACTAAGAAATGATTTGCCTTTTCATCACAACTTATGCCCAGGTTATAGTAAAAAAAAAAAAAAAAAAAAAAAAAAAAAAAAAAATGTTCCAAAGACAATGCTTTTTGATAGCCTACTTGGCTCTACTCAACATATTAAGCATTCTCTTACTTATGTCAAGATCATTAATAAAGGTGAAAACTCATGCTTCTTATACATTACTATTTACACAACACTAGTCCTTTAGACAAAAGGGAAGGATGGAGGGAAACAAATGGCTTGCAATTTTAAAAATTCAAATGAGATAGTTTCTTTTAAACTTCTGTACTCATCCCCTAAATCAATCTTCCTTTCATTTCCCAGAGAGGTAGATGCTAACTAAAATGAATATCAGTATAGAAAGCTACACACACACACACACACACACACACACACACACACACACACTTTAAAGCAAGAGTTGAGCACTAAGTAAAGGGTATTCATCCACCCTGAAGAAGTTCATGTATAGCAGTTGACAGGGGTAGGAAGGAGAAGTGCAAAGTTCTTGTCTCCCTTTTGCTGCAGAATTCCAAGCAGCTCTTGTCAGTCTGCGGGCCTCAATGGACTCACCTACAAATGAAGCCACTGGAGGTTGCTTTCAACTCTAACTTTCTGTGCTTTCAGTTGTGACTTTTTCATTGATATGCAACTGTAGATTGTGGCCAATTGTGCCACTGGACTTTGGTCACATGGGGTAGTTAGTGTTATGGGTTAATGCCAGAAGAGGCCAGAGCAATGGGATGCCAAATACCATTAAAACATTAAGTCTATAAACATTCTATCTGGCAGGCTAAGACATTACACACACACACACATACACACACCCTAACAAACAGGTGCACGAGTAACTGTAGGCAGAATTCATTCAAACAGTGTGTTTTTTTGTCAGTAAGACTCACATAGAAAATTCTGCTTTGGGTTGTTATTGTTATCCTAGGTTGTAAAGTCAAGATCCTATCACAGAGCTGATTAACTTTGCACTGCTTCATTGCAGTCTAGCATCAGATTGTTTTTAAGTAACAGTTACGTGAATGGTAACTTGACTCAATATTTTTACACTAAGAAACACGGGGCGCAGTACTGTCACATACTTTAGATTTAGAGTCTATATATAACCTACTTAACACATAGAAGTCTATCAAATACTACACTATACAGCTGATCATTTCTTACTGTACATAAACATATGCAGATATCATTTACAAAATTAATTGGAATATGGCATGGCTTAAAATTGCAAGGGTAAAGTCCATTTGAAATGTAGTGTTCTTAATGCAACATTTCTGTGTTTTTGGTGTGTTATTTCCCCAAAAAAGGAATAGAAATTGGGTCAGATGTGCATTACAGCAGCCTGGTTCAGTTGGAGAAATAGACACTAACCCAACAGTATATTATGTTACATAATAGAGGATAGCATTCAGCTAAATGATACCTAAATTATTAATACCAAATAAGTCCTAGATTTGTTGTATAATGCCCAATGGCTTGCACAATAAAATGGCATTTTAACCTAATATCTAGTTTGAGCTTTCAAATACATTTCCTAAGGGTCTTACGAAAAATTTGAAAGATTTGAAAAACCCAAGTTCTTTTTTTATTTATTTATTTTTTTTTATTGAATCCTCACACCAATGAACAGTGTTGGCTCTGGATTCTACTCATTATATTGTCATTTTATCTCTCCTAATTTCCACCCCTTTAATGTGCATATTTTTGCTGCTTGAAGGTCTTAGTTAGCATATAAGTAAATTAAACTGTCTCCATCTTGAAGGGTTCTTTCCAGCTTTGCTTTTTTGGAACCAGTCACTGCTTATCTTCCTCTCCCCTATTTGCATGGATTCAATGGAACATAAACATACATATTTAGGAGAGGAGTCCTTGTCACGTATCACTTGCTTCAGGAATGTCATAAAAGAAATTAGAAGAGGACTGTAAAGCTCACAGCTATTTCCACACGCCACACACCCAGCATAGGAATTCGTCATTTCATCTAGCAAATCTCTCTTAAGAGTTTAGGATGAACTGGTCCATTTAAATTGACGATGTGAGTGTAGGTTTACCTCACCACTTTTCTCAATAAAAACAAATTTCCAGATACAAGAGATACTCTTACTTATACAAAAGGAAACTGGAATTCAGAATGATTCAACTCTCGTGGGACAATAATCTCTTTCAAAAAATAACCATGGACTGTCTATTAACATGCCAGTCCAGGTTTATCACCGGTTAACAACACTCATGACTATTACAATATCCCCAAACTGGGAGAGAAAACAGAAGGTTCTGTTACTCTCTGTTACAACTCGACTGCACAAAAGAGAAGCAGGTGTTGGAAGTGACGAGTGTGTGACTCCTCACTGGGTGGGTCCCAGTGCCCAGGAGGTAGGTGGCACCATTTCAGACCCTGCACTCATTCATGCCTACTGAGTCTCACTACCAAGATTCTTCTGAAAAGATGGTAAACCAAATTACACACACATATAAATACACAATATTTACATTGAAAATTCTTATTTTGTGAGATGGCTTGAGAAAAATTGGCATATAGTTTTCCTGTGGGATTAGGCATTTCTCATCATTACTCAGTTTATGGCTCCCCTGTTGAGGTTTCCACTTAATAAACACAACATCGAGCTCTAATTACAAGGGAAGAAAAATGAAGGAACACGACAAACAAAACACAACACATTGGAAACACTTGTTCCAATAGTTTCTTCAAAAAGCGACAGTCCGCTTAACTTGGCTTAATTCGGGCGCCATGTAGTATTAAAAAAAAAAGCCTTAGCAACAAAGTGAAGACTGGGTTTCATCTGTCAAAGGAAAGAAATCAGCACTGTGAGTCGTCACTGAACTGGTCATGGATTCATTCTCAGGTTGGATTCTACTTGTACACACATAGCATCTTGGTTTTCATCTACCACATTTAGAGAAGATCACACCGTAAGCACTTGCACAGTTCGACATCTAAGTAGACTAGGTCTATCTCACCACGAGACTTTGGGGGGGAAAAATCATTAAGTTACAGTCCATTTAATAAATGACTACGAGGATGCATGCAATCGTCTTCGAAGCTGCTGCCATCGCCATCCATGCTCAGAGCGACCCATCTGGCATCTGGCTGAGACCTCCCCTTCCGCCCCCTCCGTGTCCGTCTGGGGTTCATCAAGTGGCAGCCCCGGAGGCCAGCGCTCAGCACCAAAGCATCAGCGTCGCCCCCACCTTCTCACCGGAGTCCCATCATCAACACCTGCTCCACCCCGAGGTGGCGCCCGCCAGCCCCGGCCCCGCGGCCCGCTTCAGCCACAGGATATCACAGTGAAGCGCTTGGAGATGCAGGACATGTTGTGCAGCACGATGCCCAGCAGGAAGACCAGGACGCAGGCCACCAGGATCACAGTGCACACCCCGGACCAGGTGGAGCTCTTCACCGCGCCCCGCCGGTCGGGCTCCTCCTCCGCTGCCTCCGGGGGAGCCCCGCCTTGCAGAGGCTGCTGCTCCGCGGGGATGGTCACCACCGTGACCGGCTTCTGCTGGCTCCCGGGCAGCAGGCGGCAGCCCATGCTTCCGGGCAGCAGCGCGCGCTCCTTGGGGATGGGGAGGGGCAGCATGTAGCACCCGTTGCTGGGGAGTTTGATGAAGACCGGGGTGTGCTCGGAGGCGTGCGGGATGGCGATCACGGCGAGGACCTCGGGGTCGTCGGGGAGCTGGGACACGGTGAAGCCCGGGGGCAGCTTGGTGATGCCTCGGCACCAGGGGCACCTCACGTCCTTCTGGCTCGTCCTCATCTGCTGAAGGCACACGGAGCAGCAGGTGTGCTTGCAGTCCAGCAGCTTGGGCCTTCGCCGGGGGCTGTAATAGTTGAAACAGATCTGACACTCCAGCAAGGAATCTTGGGAGAGCGTCTCCATCGTGGGCGGGGGAACAGGGAGGTCAAGGCCACAGGGAAGAAGCTTGCTCTCAGAGGCCACTGCTCCGGCACCTGCCTGCTCTGAGGCTTCCCAACGTGGTGCGGTGATCGGGGAGCTCACTGGCATCGAGCATGCTCAGGTGCGATTATTTCTGAAGAAGACAAAAAATTCAGACAAAGTTAGCCACTTCAAACAAGCTGGGAGAGCAACATATCTGATGGATTTACGCCACTGCTCAAACGTCCTGACACTAGGTCAGAGGCTTAAAACTGCCCCACCTGTGAGACTGTAGGATTCCCGTAATGTCCAGTGGCCGGTGAATGGCTTGTCATGGCAAATACTTTGCTCATTTCTAAAGGCACGGATGCCTCTGGGGTGGATGGGTACACAGTGCCCGCATATTTCATAAAGGGGGGAGATTGTTTGTTTTGTATATTTCAGTGGACCTGAAATATTATACAGTGGATTTCAGTGGATTATTCTTCTAATACATCAGGGAGACTCTCTTGCTTCCACTAAGTTTGCAGCATTTTCTAAAAGTAAATTTCTTTCCTTCGATCTTCTGACCTTCTTTCGCTGACTCTCCTCATCCTCCTGTAGGTACTCATTGCCAAACCAGGCAACTTTACAACCTAGGAACTTTGTGTAACTAACTTGCCACTTTCTATGGGTTAGGCCTGTTCCTCCCTCATAAGTCATTGGAATGATACAAAAAACACACACAGGCATCTGTTATCTTTTCCACCAAGTTCTTTGAACCATAGTAATTCTTGTTCATTGGTTTCAAAAGAGATAAAAACAAAACAAGACACAACAACCAAAACCACCGGCAGCAATGACCGTTCAGGCAGCCGGGGTCACAAAGGCATACGGGACCACGAATATTTTTCAGGCAGTTCTATTCATTTCGCTCCTACTTAGGTTTGTACCAAGTAACATGACCACAAGCAAAGACTATTAATGAACTGATCCTAACCAAGTATTGTATAGTGAAAGGTTGTCAGAAGACTGACAGGCAGGCTTCACCATTTAAAAAAAAAAAAAAAAAAGAAAAAGAAAAAAAGGAGCACAGTGTTGGCCTCCTGGAAGGCACCAGCAGCAGGGTCACTGGGTAACACTTAACTGGGAATGAAGGAACCCCTTAATGCTCTGGTGATGGTGATAAAGGCTGCCCAACTCCATTTCCTACTGAAAGCATCCAAATTACGTGTCTCTGGGTAGAGCCAAGACTCTGAAAGGAACTACTCAACCACTATTGTAGAAATAATTGCTACTCCTGGAAGTCCACCCACACACAGAGGCAGGAACGATATAGAAAAGCTCTTTCATGTTTTTCTTAAAAAGTGAACCTTCTTTTTCTTTTCTTTAAAATATATTTTTATTGATTATAGAGAAGAAGGGAGAGGGAGAGAGAGAGAAACATCAATGATGAGAGAAAATCATTGATAGGCTGCCTCCTGCACATCCCCCTTACTGGGGATCAAGCCTGCAACCCAGGCATGTGCTCTTGACAGAAATTGAACCTGGGACCCTTTAGACCGCAGGCCAGTGCTCTATCACTGAGCCAAATCAGCTATGGTGAACCTTCTTTTTCTAACTTCCTCTATGAAATAATCACTGATAAAAATTAAAAGTGATGCCCCAAATGGTGGGTTAGATCCCTGGTTGGGGCATGTTTGAAAGCAATGGATCTCTCTCCCTCTCTCTCTCTCTCTCTCTCTCTCTCACAAAATCAATAGAAATGTGTCAAAAAAAAAATTACCAGTGACAATCAAGAGAGTGACATATTTTAAAAATAGTTTAGCTGTAGTAAGACCGCATACATTACATTATTAAAAGTAAAATATAGCAATATAGCATTCAGCAAGATCATATAATAATAAACTATCAATCCACTGATTCAAGAAATATTTATTGAATAATTAACATTCACTAAGAGTAGAACTTATTTAACATGTTAGGTGGCATGTATGTTAATCAGATAGATGGGGGGAATCCTTTCACAATGTATACATTTACCAAATCACCACACTGTAAATATCTTATAATTGTATTTGTCAATTATGTCTCAATAAAGCTGAAAAAATAAAAAAGAATATCTATCACGCACAAATTGTAGGATATTAAGAAGCTATTGTAGGATATTAAGAAGAATCAGCCCCAAAACCAACACTTAAGCAATTTAAAGTTATTTATATCCTTTTCTCTTCCATTCATTTATTCATTCAAATTTTCATTGAATATCTACCATGTTTCAAGCATGATGGTATTTGTTTTTGTTCCTTGTAGCTAAGACCTTGTCACTGCCCATAAGAAGCTCCCAGCCTGAAAGGTCTCAGCAGTTAGAAACACAAAGTGCCGTGTGACATACAGGAACTGGAGGAATCAGGATGGCTCAGTGACAAGTCTGGATTATGGAGAGGATTTAGACATGTAAAAATCAGAGGGCAGGTCCTCTTCAGGTCAGCATCAGCCCGAGCAAAGGAAAGGAGGTGAACAACCACAGGATTATTTCTATATAGCAGGTGTAACACTGACTAGGGGATTTTTTTCTTTTTCTAACAAGACTAACTTAAAGATCCCATCTCTAAGTGTTTTATAGTTTTAGCTCTTACATTGAGGTTTTTGATACAGATATCTGTTAAGAAACAGAGTGCTCACAGAACCTGCAAGCACCCTCCCACAGGCCCAGGCAGGGACAGCAAGTCCTACAGGAAGGGAAGAGATAAGCATAGCCAGGCACATGTCAAGGGCATGTACTTCGATGAGGCTGCTTCCTCACTGGCCAAGCAGGGAGGATGGAGTTGTGGCTGAAGATCAAGTGAGTTCAGAGCCCACATACTTCCAAACAGTGAGGGACATAGTGCCAGTTCTGACTGTCCCTGCTATGCTGTGTGACCTGCCCAGAGGCACTTCGGGCTCTCAAAGAACTGCCCTTTCAAACAGATTGGGAGGAATGAGCATTCCCCTTGGCCCTGCCCCAAAACCTGCCACATCTTCCCTCCACCCCAACCCCAATAAAACCAACATGCAATTTTACTCATGAATTTATGTTCCGAGTAATGTTCACTTAATTGCTGTTAAGCCTCCTTCAAATTAGATTATACTACTCAAATTTCCAACTCCATTCAAGAAAGCTCTAACCCTTACCATACAGGCTGAACACAAAAGCAGAACAGTGACACAGCTCTGTGCTCAACAACTCAAGCCACTTTGACAGCAACCTCTCTGATTTATTCACCGATTTGATCTCTATTAAGCCAGCCTGTATTGCATTCCAGTTTACTTTCTGAAGCATAACTAGTAATAATGATGATGATTAGTTAGGTGAACAGAAGAACATTTATGAGACTATGGACCGAAGCTAATGATGAATCATTCTTCCTCCCTTTCATCATACACTGAAAAGATGTGAGTCAATATAGAACAAAGAGAATGGAAACCAGGACCACATTAGCTAGAAAAGAAAACTCCGAGTTCATAGTCAAAGACACACACACCAGTGACTGCTTTAAAAGCCTGTGTTTGGCAAAATGGGATGCCTATATACTCATTAAATTTAAAAGGAAAGAATACCTTACACTGAAATATATTGGAACAATGTTTAAATGTCACTACAATTTATTTTGAAAGATCCCACCCAAAGGGATGGCATTCTCAAAATAGTTATGGCTTATAAGATAGAACTTATTCTATATAATAAAAGAATGATATGCAAATTAACCACCACTCCACTACCCCACAAGCCACTCCCACCAACCAATCAGGAATGAGTATGCAAATCAAACCAACCAAGATGGCTGTGGCCACAGAGTGAGCAGGCTTGGGTTTTCCCAGCAATGGAGGAAGCCAAGCTTTTCACACACCCTGGCTCGCCCAGGCCTCCACTAAAGGCTACAAAGTTTCAATTATAGAAGATAAATAAATCCCAGATACCAGGCCCTCTGCTTGGGTTGCTGGGGGGTGTGGCCAGCCTACAAACCACCACAACCCCTCCCCCAGGCTGCCCCATGCCCCAAGGGAACCCCTACCCAGATACGAATGAAGATGTATTTACATGGGGGAGGAGTGATTTTGGGGGAAAACTATCAAAACCCACAAGGGTCTTATTGCTGCTACTGTTTGGGGCAGTAGATATCTGGCACTTTATAACATTACATATTTTCACAAGTTAATTTTTTTAAAATATTTTTAATTGACTTTTAGATAGAGAGAAATATCAATGTAAGAATGAAACAGATTAGCTGCTGCCTCCTGGATGCCCCCTACCAGGGACTGAGTCCACAACCTGGGCATGTGCCCTGACCAGGAAAAAACCAGCAACCTTTTGGTGCATGGGATGACTCCCAACCAACTGAGCCACACCAGCCAGGGCTAAAATTTCTTCCTTAAAAAAAAACAAAAAAAAACAAAGAACTCTATAATTTTAAGCATCTTTATAAAAGGTGTGGATATGACTTTAGTGACTGGTTAAATCACAAAAGTCTCCAACACTGAATTTTTATAATCTCTATTGCTTTTAGAAGTCCAGGCATGAGGGGAGCGGGAGGGGAGGAGGGAGCCAATGAAATAAATAATCCAGAGAGTTCTACCCTTATAATCTTTGACTCTTATACTCTTTCAAAGACTCTTCATATATCCTGATTTAGGTTTGCAACAGCGGCATTCATTATGGAGCCTCAGAACTGTTGCAAAAACTGATATTGATTACGCCTGTCTGACCTTGAATTGTTCCATTTGACAATCAAAATGAGGACCTTAAATTCAATGGTTTTGTTGAGAAAAATCTCAGTCAGAGATGAAACTAGACATTCTGCTATTTTTCTATACTATTGAAACAACATGTTTTTCTGATGCGGGCTAATTTCTTGATCAATTGTCCCAACTCTTCTTAATTTTTCGAGAAAATATAAATATTTGAAATGGGTTTAGACAAAATAATTACAATTCCATTTAACTTGGTATTTCAGCTGGCAACATCACTTAGTTATATTAGGCAT